GAAAGGAGTGCTAATAACTACAAGGTTTATTTATGTGGCTAGACTGTGGTGATGGCTACACAAGCCTGCAAACATACTAAAACCATGGGATTGCTGACACTAACGGGGCGAATTTTAGGGTATGTGAAATGGTTCAATAAAAGTTTTCGAAAACGGCTCCACCTCCTTATTCCTAAACTATGTTTTATTTTCATCCCAATAATACGAAATCTTCTAATCTGCCCATCCAGAGCCTCATTAAAACCTCTTGTTCATTTTAACTCCCTGATTCTTCTTACAACATTCCTTTTACCTGGAATAACCCCCCGAAGGCACAGTTAAGTCACACTCATTTCGAAGATTTTTCTGACTAAATCAATCCTCACTGGCCTAATTTTCCTCTAGATTCTATGCTGCTAATAATTGCTAACACTGTAACCTCGAATGTATATATAATGCAGTTTCATCTTATTCTCCATCCACTTCTGGTCTTTACCACACCCTCTAATTATTGCCGTAAATCGCCTATCTTCTCAGAGACAAACTAGTTGCTCCTGAATGGTGGAGTTCAAACATAATTTTGGGAACACCTCTAGGGCCTTAAGACAAAAAGGAAAACATGTATAAATAAGGGCTATTATAGGATAACTACCATGAGAGTGAGGGAAAAGCGCACTCCTTCCTTATCAATTCCTGCCCCATCATTAGACTTATAGCCCAGAACCTCAGTTACATCTTTCTATCCCTGTAACATTTAGCACAGCATCTTGAACACAGATGGCACCATATGTCTGCTGAATAACAAATGAATGCCTTGAAAAAATCTTCCTACATATGTATTCAGCAGTCCCGAAACCTTAACTTCCAAAGTCTTAAAGCAGGAAAGAGATTAGGGAAAAGAAAAACTAAAACGATGAAAGTATTCATTCACTTTCCAACAGTTTATCAGCAGCAATGTGTGTTCTTAATGCACTTTTTCAAGGGGACTTCTTGCTGCTACCCTTAAACCTGAATGTCTGTTAGGCATGCTTATCTTTAAATGCTGACACTTCATTACTGTCAGAAATAAAAAGAACACTATCAAGAGAAGCTAGAATTTAAATATGAATGTTCACCTTCTAAAAGTGGCTACCAGGATTCAAACCCTTATGTCTCTAAGAGCAGCCAGAAGGAAATTAACACAATGAATCTTGAAAGTATTAAGGTATGTGAGGTGGGAATTAAGAGCACATTTTTCAAAGGACAGACAGTTGTCAGGGGCAGAAGGCAAGTCCGAGTAGATGAACTTCTGAAAGTGACAAAGACAGCAGGTCATGCATAAAAGCTGTAAGTTTCAGAAACTCGATCTTGACCCTGACTGCAGGAGCCCAGGACCAATGAATTTGCCAGTATCTCTTTCAGGTACTCTGTATAAGGTAATTCTATTTCCTACTATAAAATATTCCTCTCTCTGGCCCCAAAATAATATAAACAGAGAACAGCTCTTATTTATTTAGGTTCAGAAATACATTTTTTCCTCTGCCTACTTATTCATACTTATCTGGTAACTTGCCTTAGGTTGTTTGGAGGCCAAAATACAAACTGTAATCACTTAGTCCCACTTATGGGATTTCCCTAGTAGAAAAGCAGTAATCTCCAAACTCATCATTATTTAAGTTTCTTCCAAGTATTTTCCTTCTTTAATTTGGGTATCTTGCATAATTCCCTTTTCATTTACAAAAATTTTAAATTACAAGTTTTCCTTTCCCGTCACTTATATTTTAATACGTGATGGTTTAAATTAAAATTTTTAAAATATTTTTTAGAATTATTTTATTTAACTTTACTTATTTATTTATTTTAAATTTGACCAGAGAGGGACAGAGTGAGAGAGGGAAAGCAAGAAAGCAAGTCGCCAGGTCCAGGATTCTAACTGTAGTCGGCCATCTGGGCATATCCAGCCCACCTGCTGGCCTCTAAATGAAGAGATTTTGAAATGCATTGCTGGTGGCTATTTTTCACTTCAATATTCAGAAGCATGTTAAGGTGCAAAGAGAAAATAAAAACCTACAAGAGAATTTTTGTTTAGATGCAATATATATATATATTGCCATTGCCTGCCTTCTTTGAATTCATCTATACAGATACTAACACTTCTACTTTAAATGTTCAACAAGGCATTTTTATTCTGCCTTTTTTTTTTTTTTTTGGAGAGGTTTTTGCTACAGGGCACGTGCGCTCGCCAGATAGATGGAGAGAGACAGAAAGTGAGAAATCACCCCCCAGGGGGGATGGCCACACCGCAATCCCTTCTCCTCCATTCTCCTCTTGGGATCTTGGGCACACATG